ACTTTGACGGACATATATTAATTAAAGATACTAACAATAACGGATATATGTATTAATTAAAGATAGTAACAATAACGGATATATTTATTAATTAAAGATACTAACAATAACGGATATATATTAATTAAAGATACTAACAATAACGGATATGTGTATTAATTAAAGATAGTAACAATAACGGATATATATATTAATTAAAGATAGTGACTTTGACGGACATACCTCTTTTCTGATTCCCGGGAACACAATAAGAAAGGCGACAAAAAGAGTTATAAAACTGATATAAATAATGATGCTGTGAATATCTTGAATAACGGGAGTTCTGTTGGAGACACTGTAGAAAGTTGGTCCTCCTTTGTCTCTGAAGGCATCAAACCACCCGTTCAACATGGTGTCAGCTTAGGTGTCGCACTTCCCACTAGAATAAATAAATAAAACAAATCGTTGGTTTGTTTAGCGCAATAGGCTATCTGTCCCATACGAGGGATCTAATCCCGAGTGTTAGCGTTGTAAGTCCACAAACTTACCAATTGAGTTTTCATTCATCTACTTTCTGAGTTTTGTTTTTTATTTATTTACTGGTTTTGTTGTTGTCCACCCTCAGTAGGTCAGTAAATAAGCTTAAATAATAAATATCTCTAGATAAATAAAATAAAAACTCAGTAAATAAATGAATGATAAGAGAAAAACTTTACAGAATAAATAAGTAATGATAAGTAAAAACAAAAAAAAGACCTCAGTAAATAATAAAAAAAAGTCACAAAACTCGAGAAATAAAACAATCCAACTAACTAGATATAAAACTAGAAAGAAAACCGTCTAGTATGACTTGACATAAAACTTTCACAAATTAATATAAATGAATCTTTTTAGACTATAGTTATGTGTATCTAACATTATAGATAATAATGATTACTTGGATGTGTTTGGTGATTAAAGTTTATACGAAACACGCGAAATCCTAAAGACGATATTTCCTTTACGCACGAGCAAGCAGCTGATGATAAGATAGAATCCAACCGCTCACTGTATGTGTCTCCAGCTGATCCCGTGTGGGTCATTCGGTGAAAGTAAAGCTTGTGGACACTTGTGAATTCTATACCACCATCCATTTCCGCAAGGTGGCCGTCATTCGCTTTCTACCACCCTCTCTGTTGTGGAATTTCTCCCAAAACCAGGTCAAGGGCCACTGAACTAGCTACCAATCAGGTAACGACTTTTGTAAAAAAAATTATACACATCGAGTCTATGATCCACTGACGCATGCGTGTTGCGTTCTAACTCCTGCACAAAACATGTCTTCAAAGTGGACGTATATTATTTCAATTTAGAGTTTAATTACTGTACATTGTGCTTATTTAAAGTATATTATAGAATCGTACAGGTTTAACTATACATAGTCATTTTTTCTTGTAAACGTAATTTGATGAAATTACCAGCGTAATTTGAAAATTATAATTCAATACGGCTATTAATAAGATATTCATAGATTACAGATGGTCTCCCGTGACTACGCTGTAGTCCCATAGTTTCGCGACTGGCCTATTTTCTAGTATATTTAAGATAAAACTACCCACCTCCAGCCATCTTCTATCTAGACTTCTCTGCTACCGATACTCATTCAAGACGTTTATCATCTGTCACCAAAGTACGTTCGTAAAGAAATCTCCTGTAATGGGTCTTACTATTTGTCTCGGGAGATGATAGATAGGATTAAAGAATGCGTTCGAACAAGATGGTTCAACACACTATAAAATAGAAGTACGGTATGACTCGCTCGGCCCACTTATGCTAGCGCTAGGTACAGGCACGATGCGAGCGAACGCCGAGTGTAACGCAGCAGCTGACGCATAGAGTATCGCATCACGTCACTCGTGTCGCCAGCTTTCCCCGTTACTTCTAGGCTAGTTTTTCTACTACTATATGATCATCACACGCACTAGAGAACACAAACTTTCTATCTCTCTCTTGGTGTATGAGCTCATTTGAATCGAAACTTTTCACTGACACACTAACTTTATTTGTTTGTTTCTATGGTAACATCTCAAGCAAAAAGATCTTTATTTGATGCGCATGCGAATATGAGGTAATAAAACAAACTGGGCAGTTCGTGAACAGGTGTATTACAAGAATCTTGACAGCAGTGTTAATCCAGTATACTCGAATCAATGATTGTCAGTGAATCAAATGTTTATTGTACATAAATTGAAAAAGAAGTTAATGACCAACACTGTTAAAAAAAAACGAACTTACAAATAAATCTCTACGAATCATTATAAGGAGAATTTCGCCATCTTGGCACCACCTAAAAATTATACTTAGATAAATACACTGACAACGAAATAACATACAACGTAGGAACTTTAAAAACTAAACCACTGAAAACTAAAAATCCACATGACACGAGAAGAAAAACTTGGATAAAAAATAAATTAACACGTCTAAATGATATTTTTTTTTATCTAGACGTGTCAGTTTATTCTGTATTATATTTTATCAAACGATAAATTTAAATTGTTACTTTTCTTATTAGTAATAATAATAATAATATTTTTCAGACAATCTTGTATTTTTAAATGAAAGACAAAGATTACATAAACTTCACGTAATTAAATATGTTAACTTAATTATTTTTTTTACTTCCTTTTAAACTTCTAACAGAAACTGTTCATATGTGTGAAAGGCCTGACCTTAGGGCGATGAGTCTCGCAAGGCACTGTTAAAACTTGAAATCTAGGCCTTAATTTCATTACCTTTAATATGAGGTCATATAATATCAGTTTGTTTTCCGTTTCAGATCTTTAGCCTGATTTAAAAGAAATGTTTCACACATATGAACAGTTTCTGTTAGAGGTTTAAAAGGAAGTAAAAAAATAATTAAGTTAACATATTTAATTACGTGAAGTTTATGTAATCTTTGTCTTTCATTTTAAAATACAAGATTGTCTGAAAAATATTATTAAGGAATGAGAGAGCATTAGGGTTCAGGTCTAGATAGTTGTTCCAAGTTTTGACCTTGGGGACAGGCATACAAGAATGTTAAAGGTCTCTCACCTGGATCTATAGCCCACGTAAGCCTAGCATGCCCTTTATATTCAAAAATAATTTATTTTCCAAACTTTTCATTGTTAAACCCAAAATTATATTATTATTTTAATATTTTCGTTTATCAGCTAGAGGCTATTTTCACATCTTTTCCAACCAAAGAATGGGATGTTTTTGTTTGAGGTTGTAGCTTATTGTACGTAATTAACTTTTAAAAATGTATTCGTTTTTTGATATTTCGGGCAAAGCTACTCGAGGGCTATCCGTCCCTAATTTAGCAGTGATAGACCAGACGGTAGGCAGTTAGTGTACACCGCCAGCTCTCCAGCTGCTCTTTTATCAACGAATAGTAGGATTGACTGTAACATTATAACGTCCCCAAGGCTGAAAGGGCGAACATATTCGGTGAGGGGATTCGAATTCGCGACTTGTAGATTGCTAGTCAAACGCCCTAATCAGCAGGCCAACGTTAACAAAACAAAAACTTTCAATCTGTTTTAATAGAAAACTTAGTGTTTTTTTTATCTCGTATACAGACACCATTTTGTTTTTTTAGAAAACACCCATAAAACGAATAAGAAGGTTTGACTTCGTTCTGCACATATTTTTTGAGATGTTTCAGCTTTCGAAAAATATTCTTAAATTTTATAATGTAACATTTCATTGCATTAATGTTCTTTTTTTGACACAAGGTGGCTCAGTAGTAAGTCTGGGGGCTTAAAACGCAAGAAATCGGGTTTCGATACTCGCATTGGGCAGAACACAGATATCCCATTGTGTGTATGGTCGACTTTGTACTAGGTTATATTTATATCATATAAACACCACAGCAACATGTTGTCAATACGAAGTTATAGTTTTTGTTCTAATGTGATTATCGAGTGTGGGCCCGGCAGGGCCAGGTGGTTAGGGCGCTTGTTTGG